CAGCTATTAAATCTGCTAAGAGATACCTTCTTGCCGTTCTCCAGGATCATGCGTTAACTTATGAGGAATCTTATACTCTTCTGCCGTTCTGAATTCCCGTCCTATCTACCACATTAGCAGTCAGCCATCGGATAACCTTGATTACCTTACCCCATGACACTTTCTTATTGGTCAACCCTTCCTAGCCCGACCAGAACAAGATGACGCACCTGTGTTTCCTTTGACAAGCCGTTGGGAGATGATTTCCAAGACCCTTCGTAATTTTTGGAAGAGGTAGTATAATGAATACCTTCATAATCTGATGCCTCGCGACAAGTGGTATACTAATAGAGAAGATGTTCCACTGCAGCAGTGGCGGCTTGCCAGGATAATAGACACTTCCAGGGCCCGACAGTGTAGTTAGGGTTGTAAAATTGAGGACTGCTACAGCCACTTTGGTGCGACCGGTGCACAAGTTATTGCCTCTCTCTTCTGGAAAAACCTTTTATTGATATGTATATTTTTTGTTTAAATTTAATGTGGAATCATTTTATTTTGTGTTAATTGTAAATTATTAGCCTAATTTCTCTCTTTCTTTATTGTAAACCAAGCAATTTTCCTCTCGTTTGTGCCTTGCCCGGTAATCACCAATTGTTTACTTACTATTCCAATCCCTTCCAAGACTGTCAGGGATATTGTCATAATAATTCTGCTTTAAGAGCTGGTGATAATTTATTGCTGTGGACTGTAAAATTAGAGGAGTTAATGGATTAAAGAAGTGAATGAGTAAAATTGATTGCTATATTTTATTACATGTATTTTATAAGGAAGTTAAATATAGGTGGGTTGGGATACTTGCATTTTTTCTTTTCTTGTTGTGCCAGTCTTCTCGTTCATCTTCCCTCTCTTCCTTTCTTGGCCCCTTGCCGGCCGCTGTAGGTTTTTACTCCATTTTTATTAAACCAGTAGAATCACAAGTTTTTTGGAAAATCACAATGGAACTCACAAACACGAACTTTGAACTGGCCAGTCTTGTCATTCTCTGACGCTACGTGAGCGTCTACACTTCAACAATGGCGGCGTCACAACAATGACTGAGGTATATATGCAGCATAACAGCTGTGTTGTGCTTACTTGATTTAATTTATATATAAAGTTTGATGTGTTCCCTAAACACCAATCTTTGAGTTTGGTTTTTTCTTTTTTAATTCACGGTGAGGGATATGGTTGTGCCAAAGAATGGTTTAAATTTCCCGCGTTACTGTGAGTCGTGGGGGCAGATCTAAAAGATAACACTTAAGCCTTGAGAGAGGCTGGTTGGCTCAGCACACTTAATTGGCAGTCACAGAGCAAGCACCATTCCAGCATTAGAAGTCACGGCAGATGCACCAAGGGCCCTCCAGGTAACAAAAGATGCAAGCTGGCATAAAGACGGTAAGCTATTTTTTGCACAATCATTATAACCTACCAATCCATTAAGATACAGTCCATTGCTTAAAATTAGAATGTTGCCTTAAAATTTTGAATGTTGCCTTATTGAAACTCATCAGAGTTATTTTACATAATTAGAAAAGTTGTCTAAACAATGGTACTAAAAAAAAAAACATTGAACAGAGTGATAATGAAAATGATAAACAGCAGAAAACAAACCAGAACATAAATAACTCCCTAAGTAAAAATGTAAACAAAAAACCGAATTTAATCACAAATTATTTAAAAAATAATAATTCTGAAATATCTAATAATCTCGAAAAAACAAACTCAAAATTTACCTAATGCCAAACAATTTGAAAATTTAACACTGAATAGACTGAGAAGTTCATTCTCTGTGACAAAAGTTTCCAAACGTTGCAAAAGAAGACCAGTTGACATTTTTGCAGATGCATTCAAACATGATATACCCCTATAATTATGAACATTATTGATGTCAGCACGTTTAAAAAGAGAAAATAATATAGATTTGCCAAAGGAAGCCAGAGCTTTGCCAGTCTCATAGATTTGATTACAAAGAGAAAGAAGCTTACCCAAAAATACAACGGGTGCATGTTTGCAAAATTTCAAGGAATTTTTATGAATATCTGTATATTTATCCATCCAAACCAACTATGGCAAAAGGGGTAGAAAATTACATTCTGGAGTGTCTATAAATGAGATCTCACAAAAAACCGGTAAATGATCTGTAATGGTTCTGCTAAAATTCTGAAATCAACAATGCATGAAATATAATCTATTAGAAAACAAATAAAATTAATTGCAGATTTACCCATATTACTACTGAAGGTGAATTCACCTTCAATATCATTAAATCTACCATTCAAAATGATGAAATCATGGTCATCACAGTTCTAATATTTTGGAACCGCGGCCATTAATGATCCTATCTCTACATTTCCTAGGCAGGTTACAATTAGGATTATCCAAAATTAAATCAGAGGGTAGAGACTGAGAATCTGCAATCCTAGCATTTAAGTCCCCAGCTAAAACAAATGTAATGTGTGAATTTTTTACAAGAAAGTTTGACAACAAGAAAAATCTGAGTCCCATGAATCGTCACGTGAATATATGAGCAAAATATACAATTCAATTAGATTTTTAACATAAATTACTTTAACTTCATCAATATCCAGAAACTTAACCTGGCATTGTGTTAAATTAGATCTAATTGCATACAATGTACCCCCCCAATAGCACGGCCAAAACGAGCCTGACTCTTATCAGGAATCCAGCACAAACTATATACATCAAAACATTTACTGTATAAATTAAATTTACAGTCTATAAAAGTTTCCAACAATAAAAAAAAATATTTCTTGAGAAATTGTAAAAAAGCACAAGTTGGATCATTTAATTTAGATTTTAAACCTGCTATATTATATACAAGAGAAATTGTTGTAGCGGAAGAAGAGACTTGATGAATTTTCTGCCAGCAGACTGACCTGTCTCATTCCTTACATGATGAAACTGATGTGGTAGCAATATTTTCAGATACGATTACATTTGATGAAAAATAATCTTTTGATAGAGTATCAGTGCGACAGCTGTTATAAAATTAGACAGATCAGCGCCTACCAGATCGTTTAACATCTTCACACTGTCTTCGCCCTAATACTTCAAATCAACATCAGATCAATTAAATCTTTTATTTAAAATAATGAGACAATCGGCACTGACAATAACGTTAATTTTATTATTTAAACGTCTGATTTCCTTTCTAAGTAACAGGAACTTACTTCTTCTCATCCTAGTCCTTTCACCAAAATCCTGGTATATCATAAACCCTGTTCTTCGCAGCCGTTTTAAGGAGTTTATTATTAATAATTTTCTTTATATCTCATAAATGTGACCATAATTTGTCTATTAGGGGCTGTTGTTCGTCCCAGAGGGAAAGCATAGAAAAATTCTTGCACTAATTGAACTTCGGAAATAATAATCTGTAAAAATCGGAAATAATTTTACAAAAATTATTATCATGTGAATTATAAGTCAATCCTTTAAATATTAGGTTGTTTCTGCAGTTTTTATTATCTAACTCGTCAACGAGATTTTGAGTCTTTATATTAGTCTTCTTAATACCGAGTAACTCGAATTTAAATTTTGATCTGGATAAGCATTTTTATTTTTTTCTCCTTTATTCAATTATCAAATGCTTTCAAGAGTTATATTTAGCAGTTTTTTGTAACTTTGAATAACTTGAGATGATTATTTTTTTAAAATAAACCATATTAAAGGTACTTTAGAGGAAGACGTATATGAACAGTGGGCATTTAAGCCCTGTAAAGTGACATCAACGGGGATAAGACTTAAATGGTATTAAAGACCACTTAATTATACAATGATACACTGAGTTTAATCAAAATCGTTAAAGCCGTCTTTGAGAAAATTGTAAAAATGTGTTTCAGTGTTGATATAAAGTGGCACTTCCGGTTATCCGATTTTAAGGAAAAAGTTGCCAGGACATCTAAGGCATATATCTATCTTAGATACGTAATATCAGTTTTGTATGGCTTTTCGGTTTCGAGCTAGAATGTTCACATAAACACAGACCATTTTTCAGGACTTGGTTATTTGAACTTAGGGGATCTCAAAACATGTATTTCAATTGAAAACCCAGATTCAAAATTTTTCACGATCACAATACTTACACTTACTATGTATTTCATATATAGATAAGTGAAAGTAATATATTTTTATATCGCTGCGGAGGGACACACAGATTCCCTGAAACGTAATAATAAGGTTTAGCGAACCCGAAGGTTCTATGCCGATACCACCAATCGATGTTCACATTCTTCCATCTGCCGGGCTCCATCTAAACCCAACTCTGCCAGATCAGCCTTAATGTAATCCCACCTTCGCTTTGGTCTGCCTTTCGTACGCTTGCCAGTCATTACAGCACATATTAACTTCTTCTTATTCGGAATTAACGGAATCCTTTCTTTACTAAGCCCAGCGATTTTGCATGCCTATTTTATTTGTGTCAACTTAATCATCTCAATTATATTAACCAGATACAGTTCACGCATTTCAGGGTTGTGTAACCGCCTAAATTCTCCGGTTGACTCGTCCTTTTTTGGTCCGAATATTCTGCGCAGTACTTTATTTTCAAAAACCTTGTACTTACCGAAGGAAAGTACAATAAATAATTATCAGAAGTTAATTTTGATTTTTATTATACTGATCTGTGAGACATAAACTTATGTGTTAATGGACATTATAATATAAAGATCAAACATTAAAAAAAAAAAAAAAAATATATATATATATATATATATGTGTGTGTGTGTTTATATTACTCTTGGCTTTTTTATTGACTTCTATCTATATCTTATATATCTGATTTAATTTTTAGACTTGATGACAACCCACATGTTAGGGTTGAAATTTTGAAATGGCAAGCTGAATAAAACAAATCTAGACCCATAATGCTGACTATTTCTTACTCTAGTAAATTATAATTAAAATAAAATTAAAAAGATTAATGTCATTTCTGACAATACTAATTATTACAAAATGTAGTGTACCTTTGGATAAGTCCAGGATTACCATTCTTCAATAACGTATGAATGAGATTTATAATAACAGCAAAAAGATAATTAAAATTTGTTGTATATACCTAAAACCAGAAAAATATAAATCTAATATATATATATGTGTGTATGTATGTATATACATAAATATAATTACAGACCAAAGTCAATCAAAAATTATATGTACGTGATCAAAAATGTCATACCTTCCTTCCAATTTCTCGAATTATTTCAAATAAAAGCACAAGAAAATCACCAGAATGAGCTAGAATACTAAAATACTTTAATCTATCTGTTTTGAGTAAATCGTCACAATTAAATGAATCAATTTCCTTAGGCTTTCCTTTCTTTTTTTCATTAGATTTTCTGGAAAATAGTAATTTCAAATGTTAGTAGTAATCAAAATGTACATATATCAACATGATAATGAATTATCTATAATTAATTTAAAATTCCAATAACTGCAGCTATAGCAGAGAGTACTTAAGGAGAGACAGTGAAAAATGGCAAAGATCAAATTTTTTACTGACATAAAATTATAATTTTGCACCAACAAGAACTTTCAATCACAGAAAAGATGTTGAAGGTTTTATTTCTGAAATTTATTGCCATAATTTTTTAATTAAAAACAAGCAAAATAGAGACTTGAAACGTTCAGGCAGATATAAAAGCATAGTCCTGCTGCTGAACAACAATTAAAATTATTTGCGTAGGCACAACCACTAAAAATCTAGTATAGAACTGACTAGTATAGCCGCAGGGTATACTATACATCAAGCTTAGTGTAGAGGATCTGGATGTGGTGCAGTGCCGCAGAAGCAAGGATGACCCTCAACTACCACCTGTAATCGCACAATTCGTCAGGCAAACAGTGAGGGACTGTTCATCATGAGAAAAAAAGTCAAAAGGGACTTCTTGACGCAAGATGTTGTGGATGACTGCCACCAAATTTATCTCAGCGAGGAGATGACCTCAACGAACAGGCACCTTTACTGGCTTGCCTGGCAGAAGAAAGCGATTGGGAAGAAAAGATATATATGGTTCGCGGCTGGCAGAGTGCAATGCCGAAAAGACAATAGCCATTAAGTAATCTTGAATGACCAGGCATCGAACATTTTCACCTGGCTGTATATACTTCATAATTCTTTATCCTTCGTCAAAGTATTTTTCATTTTAATTGGTTCCCAGATCAGCCTTAATGTAATCCCACCTTAGCTTTGGTCTGCCCCTCGGATACTTGCCAGTCATTACAGCACATATTAACTTCTTCTTATTCGGAATTAACGGAATTCTTTCTTTACTAAGCCCAGCGATTTTACATGCCCATTTTATTTGAGTCAACTTAATCATCTCAATTATATACAGTTCACGCAATTCAGCATTGTGTAACCGCCTAAATTCTCCTGTTGACTCGTCCTTTATTCTGCGCAGTACTTTACTTCCAAAAACCTTGTACTTATCGAAGGAACGTACAATAAATAATTATCAGAAGTTAATTTTGATTTTTATTATACTGATCTGTGTCAACAATGATTTCCAAGATTTTGGTTAAACTGTCTCATAGCTTTCACTTCCAAATTTTTTTTATTTTGCTCTTGTTTCTCACTTATTTTTTCAGTATTTACTTTTATTTTCGTTGTTTATACTGATTTTAAATGTCTTTCCGAAAATGAGATCTGCTTCATTCTCTTTACGCCAATCTATAACTGTTGTTTCCCATAAAATCCTCCCCATGTCTAATATCCTAACCACCTGTCACGTTAACTTCCTATTCCTTCCTGCCCATTATGATAAATTTCTACAGTAATCAGATTCATGTTGCCAATGACACAAAATGTACACAGGCTCAATTACTAGATGAGCTTTACAAGTGTATTTTTTATATTTGGAATATATTTCCGTTGTGATTATTTTTTCTTCCACACTCATGACATCTTCACATTCTAAAATTTTAAAAACTTCAATTCAACCATAAACACGACAGTTTTCCAAGCAATTTCAAAAAGTACGGAGGGGGGCCTTTAAAGTGTCAGGAACGGAAGCACAACAAGGGTTAGATAAACAAATAGATGTGATTACCACAACATCCGGACACTTTGAGAGATTTGATAGCCTTAAAAGCGAGACAGGTGCATTCCTTCCGCTCGAAAGTACAACATCAGCATGTAAAATAAGCCTATATGCTATTAGATTGGCACAGATGGGAGGGGATATTGAAATAAGACGAGACACTTGTATGTGTCATCACAAAAAAAAAAAAAATGGTGAAAAAAATAAAAAGATTTTTAAGTATATACTTCATATTCACCTAGCTCAAATATATTTATTAAACAATACTTACGGTTCTAGAGGTTTGTTAAAAATTTTTTGTATCTCCATTTCAATTTCCTAAAAAAACAAATAAAAAAGTAATAATATAAGTGATTAACAGATGAACATCATAAAAACAAATATAATTTAAAAATTAATTTGTTTTCAATCAATGATTAGCAGACTATATTCATTCAAAATACTTTAAACAATTTAAAAGTCCTAATAATTCAATTTCTTCTTTTGAACATCATTTTATACGAAAGAAAAATACTAGTAATAACTATTTATCATAAGTTTTATAACATTTATTTAAAAATAAAAATTTCCTTAGGCTAACCTCTAGAAATTATTATAAAGTAGCTTATGCAAAATAATTATGAAAAACAGTTAAGGAGGTTTACTTTAGTAATATTAATTTGCAATCCTAATATAACAATAATAATATAAAAATTTGATATAAGATCATGACCTGGCCTGACCAACCGAAGCAACTTCATAGGCCACTTGGATGACTTTTAATGTAACGCGGGCTGCACTTTAAATAAACCTACTTTTAAAGAATGTAATATAAATAATAAAATATACAAAGCATTCCTGTTATGCTATGATTCAATATAATAAACTTTACATTCATAACTAATGAGATATTTGTCTTGCTCCAGGTTCACTTTGCAGTTTGTTCTGTTTGAAGTTACAGTATCTTTGAAAGTGAGCTAACAATAGTCCCATTTATTAACAGAGTGGACCTACCGAATTCTATGACTAGCTACTATCAGGTAAAATTTTGTCTTGTTTCACCTTTATCTTTTTTTATGCCTTAGTTTTTATTATTTAGTATTTTCTTAATATTATAGACATTATCTAATAATTTAACTATTCCCAATCATGGGAGAAAGTAGCAGGGAGGAGGCAGGGTGGGGTTGAGCATCCTGATAAACATACAAATCTATCTATCTTAATGGCTCTACAACTCTCAGTGGGTCCTGGCCTCCTCAATGAGCTTCTGCCGAATTTCTCAATTCAGTGCGGCCACTTTCCAATTCCTGACTCCCATCAAGTATCTTGCATCAATGCCCATCTAAATCTTGATCTGACAGCTCTAATCGTATAGTGTAATGGCTTCTCAAGCACACTTTCAAGGATTTTAGACCTCTCCATCCAAGCTATGTGACCTGCCCAACTTAACCTTCCTAATTTCATTATTGTTGCCACATTAGGTTCATTAAACGATTCATAGACCTCTCTATTCTTCCGAATTCTCCAATCCAGTCCATCCTTTACAAGGCCAAATATTCTTACAAGGATTTTCCTTTCAAAGACCAAAAAATTCTTTTTTGTCATTTTTTGTTAAGGTCGATGTTTGGCTACCATAGGTAAGAACTGGCTGAATGAGCGCTTTATAGAGCTGCAGCTTTGTAGGTCAACTAAGTAGTGAGCTTCTCATATGCTTAAGTAGACCAAAATAGCATTGGTTTGCAGCTGCTATTTTCCGCTTTATTTCAAGTGACGTCTCATTTTTAGTCATAATTTGAGATCCCAAATAAGAGAACTGTCAGACATTCTCAAATGTGTAAGGGCCTAGAGATATTCTTTAGTTTTGGAGATCCTCTCCTTCTCCTGTATGCATATATATATATATATATATATATATATATATATATATATATATTTTTTTTTTTTTTTCTCATTAATGGGAGCTCCATCTTAGCTGCATCTTTTTGCAATTTAAGGAAGCAACCTTTGAGAGCTGCAAATAACCGTGCAACAATATCAATGTCGTCAGCATAACCTAACAGTTGCACCACATTTGTAAATATCGTGCCCCTAGTCTGAATGCCAGATTTCTTCACCACCTGCTCCAGAGCCAAATTAAACAATGAACATGCCAAAGCATCACCTTGTCTCAGTCCTTTATTGGTGGGAAACTCCAATGAACATTCCGAATGAATCCTTACTCGGCATTGTACTGCATTGTCATTTTTATCACAGAAATTAGTTTAGAGGGGATGTTTAGTCCATTGCTTTATACAAGTTATATCTTCTTACGGTATCATAGCCACTCTTGAGGTCAATAAACAGATGATGAGTGGGAATTTTATACTCATGACTTCTTTCTAGAATCGTTTGGAAAGTAAATATTTGATCAATAATTGATCTACTCTTTCGAAAACCAGCTTGGTATTTTCTAATTTGAAAATCAACTAATGGGGCTAGTATGTTGTAGAGTATTTTATATGCACACTGCAGTAGTTGACGCATTCCAATTGTTCTCCTTTCTTGTGTACAGGACATATGACCGCATATTTCCATTGAAGAGGCATTCTTTCCTGTGTCCAGATAGAGAATATCAGATCATAAATGAGCTTATGTTACTATTCGCCATCATATTTAAATAGCTTAGGTGGTAGTCCATCACCTACTGGTGCCTTATGATTTTTCATCTGTGCAATCGCATCCTGGACCTCTTCAAGCTCAGGAGGTTTTTTATTTCTCTATCATTGAGCATGATGTTATTGTGGCTCCCAGAATCCTGCTCTGATTCAGCTGCTCCCTCATTCATTAGGTCATTAAAATGTCTAGCCCATCTTTCAAGTACTTCTTTCTTATTAGTGAGAAGTGAACCATACTCCTTTCTGCATGATTGAAGTCTCGGCCTAAAAGGGATTCTTCCCTTATTAACTTTTTGGAAAAACATTCTATTCCTATTGGTATTTCTCAGGGTCTCCACTTCTTCAAGCTGTTTATTCTCCTATTCTCGCTTTTTCTTTCTATGGAGTCTCTTCTCAACTTGTCTTCCTATTCTACATAGTATATAGAAGTAGTATCCTAGTATACAGCTTCTGTTCTTATCAGTCTGTAGAATACATTCTTTGTCTCGGTTACCTTCTACATTCTTCATCGAACCATGGGGATCTTCTTTCAGAATCTTTAAATCCAAGGGTAGCCTCTGCTGTCTTGGTTATGACTGTTTCCAGATTCTAAATTTACCGTTCAGCAGTCATTCTTTCATCCGGTCGTTTTTGAAAGGAAGTGAGCATATCAGCTTCTTTCAGTTTCATTATATTCCATCTCTTTTGTGCAGCTGATTTACATATCTTTGCTCTAGAGATTCTCACTCTAATCCGAGCAATGATCAAATAGTGGTCAGAATCTATGTTTGCACCTCTATATACTCTATTGCTTATTAGATTAGATCTATGTCCCTCACTAATTAGCAGATGGTCTATCTGGTTGAATATACTTCCATCAGATGATTTCCATGTGGCCTTATGGATTCGTCATCCTGGGAATACTGTGCTTCCTATAATCATGTTTGGAGATGGAACAAAATTTACAACTCTTTTCCCATTGTCATTGCACTCTTCTTCCTTCCCGATTTTAGCATTAAAATCTCCCAACAGGATCTTTATGTCACTCTTAGGGCATATGTCATGAACTCTTTCTAATGTGTGGTAGAAGTTCTCTTTCTCCTTTTCACTTGATACTTCGGTAGGAGCATGAAAACTGATAAGGCTGTAATTATAAAGCACTCCTTTGATACGAAGAGTACAAAGCCGTTCATTAATGGGAGAGAATCCAATGACTTGGTGTCTCATTCGCCCTCTCACTACGAATCTAGTTTCGAACGTATGATTCTTTCCGTGGCAGCTATAATAGATAGTGAGTGGGGTTCTTCTTCTCAATAAGACCGCTATCCACCCAGCGGACCTCCTGGATAGCTGCTATGTCCACTCTATAGTTGTACAATTCTATTAGGAGGACTTGAAGTCCTGGGCTGTATAACAATAAGATATTCCGATAACCTAATCTAATATCCATTTGACGCTTTCTATGTCTATTACCATTGATCAGTCCGGCTTTATTTCTTTGAAGTCCCATAATAGTTAATATTTAAGGAGAGGGAGTTATTAGCCCACTGCCCCCGAGTCAGGTGGAGGGGTTGCCTCCTCGAAGCACCCTGACTTGCTCCCCCTCTGGGGCAGCTTCCCAGGGAAGGAAGTCCTAGGGTGGGTAGTGTTGGTGTCCCTGGGTCAGTTTATATGTATAGTATATTGTTATGTGTGTATTTGGGCTGTGTACTGAACTCGGGTACCTGGAGGGGCATTAATCCCCACTAGCCATACACAAGGCTAGCCCCTGCAGGGGATAAACATACAAATACACCACTAATCCAGCCTTCTTGTCCTTATTCCCGTGCTTTATCATATCTACAACTTTTCATTGCAAAACTCCATATTCCCATTTTCCTGGAAAACTATCCTAGTCTGACTTTTGAATAAAATTTCCAACCCTACCTCACTGCACGACTTCTGTCCTATTTCTCTCCTATCCAACCTTTCAAAACCATTAGAATGCCTTGTCCAAAATCAACTCTCAAACTTCCTAGAGGAACTTCCCTTATCAACCCATTCCAATCTGGCTTTCGATCTGGTTACTCAAGCAATCCGCCCTCCTTATAATAATCCATGACCTTCAAAACTCCATTGAACACCAAAACTTTACTATCCTCATCCTTCTAGATTTTTCCAAAGCGTTTGACACAGTTGACCATAACATCCTCCTTACTAAATTGCAAAATCTTCCTATATCCAACAGTACCTTGAGTTGGTTCAAATCCTTCCTCTCAAATCAGTCACAGTATGTATTCATCCCAGGTCAACCTCCATCTACGACCCTCCTTCTCTCCTGTGGTGTCTCTCAAGGTTTCTCTTTATCCCCTACTCTGTTTGCTATTTACATTACTGATCTTTCCCTCCTGATCCATCACTCCCAATTCCACATCTATTCAGACTATTTCCAAATATACCTGTCCTTCCCGCTTTCTGACCTATTATCAGCCACAGAAAAACTTCAAGAAGACTTGGATAGGATTCGTGACTGGGTGAGAGCTAACTAAGTTGGAGTTGAATGCGGAGAAGACGAAGACAATCTTAAGAGGCTCTCATCAACTCCTTAAACCTGTTCCTACATGATAATCCCATCAAATTTTATCTCACTATCAAAAGCCTTGAAATAACCTATAATCCAACACTTTCCGGGCAAAATCATGTATCCATTATCTCCTACCGTATCTT